AAAGTATAAGATTAAATGAATACTTGACCTTGGATGGATTGGTCATCTGTAAAATCTTTCAACTATTAGGTTGGCAACTAAGTCATTGCCGATTTCAAATAAGAAGGCAAATTCGGAATTTTTGTTTAAAAATATAACTTTATTCAATTAGATATTGGCCGTTCTTGTCGATGACCTTTTTCCATCCTTCTTGCAGAGTAAAAATTCCCCATTCGTAAAATGTCTGGTCTTTGCTATTAAAAAACTGAATTAGGCGTGATCCGACATCATCCGTGTTGTTAAAAATTTTACCATTTAAAGAGTTTTGCATGGAACGAAACAAATGGTAATCCGAAGGCGCAAGGTGAGGGCTATATGGTGGGTGTGACAAAACATCCCAACCCAGTTCCAATAATTTTTGCCGAGTAACCAAAGATGTGTGGGGCCTTGCGTTATCAAAGATGTGTGGAAAACAACACCCTTCCGCCGATTTGATAATGCCGGCCGCTTATCTTCAATTCCATCCTTCTTTCAGTTTTTCGAGTTCTTCAACATACACATTTGAATTTATCGTTTGGTTCTGCGGCATGACTTCAAAATACAAAATTCCTTTGTGATCCCCCCACCAGACTGACAGCATAATCTTTTTTGGTGAATCTCTGCTGCTTTTCATACTGCTTGGGCTGGTTGATCTTGCTTCACCCATGATCTCTTGCGAGTAACATTCTTATAAACTATCCACTTTTCGTCGCCAGTAACTAGGTTTTTCCTCGGAAATGGATCATTCTCATTGCGTTTCAGTAGCGAATCACAGATGCTAATCCGTTGCGTCAAATGAATTTCCTCTTACTGGTGAGGGATCCATAGATCAAGTTTCTTGACATAACCAAGGGTTTTTAATTTTTTTTCAATGCGCATGTATGCGACACATTGAGCTTCTCTGCAATATCTCGTGTTGTGCTGTGACGATTTGAATCGATAATGGCCTTGATATGGGTTTCATCCACTTCGACTGGGCGGCCAGATCGTTGTGAATTTTTCAGTGAAAAATCACCGGAACGAAATCTTTCAAACCAATTTCGACACTGCCTTTCTTTTAAGGCTTCATCTCCATATACGGCACATAACTTCTTTTGTGCTTGCGATGCGTTCTTGCCTTTTCGGAAGTAATACAATAAAATGTGTCGGAAGTGCACGTCCTGTTCTTTCATTTTTAAATTGGGATAAAACAAAACTAAAGAACTAAACAAAAAAAATTTTTTACTAATTAACCTAGAAGCCCATACAGTAAGAAAAAAATATAGGTTAGATGCTCTGGCCACGTTACCAAAACAAAAGAAAGTATAGAGTGAATCTGTCAACAAAAACGGCAATGACTTAGTTGCCAACCCAATAGATGAAGACCCACGAGGTGGAAGGAGTGAGAAGGAAGGAGAGAGACCCAGAACAGAGGGTGAAAACTTCTCTCTTGTGCAGAACCTTGTGGGGAACAAGATGAACGAGCTACCATTGAGGAAGTTTGTGGTGATGTCGGAATCGTACACTCATCAGCTTTTTCAATTCTCAATGAAGATCTTGATTTCGATTCCAAATGCGTTGCAGGAGCATCATTTGATACAAAGACCTAAACTTACTTCACCAAGTTTGGCTTAAGTGCTATGTTTCCGATGATGGTGAAAAATTTAAAGGAGACGTACAAAGGGAAAATTTTGGAATTCAAAGGCGTTTGAAAGAAGTTAAAGACAAAAAGGGGGTAAGAAATATGTCTCGCCATCGCAGACTCTCTCGATTATGAATAGATTTATTGATTTTTGAAATATGGAACGCTGTATGAGACGTTCATTAAGATTGTTTAAATAAAAAGAAAAGTAAAATCAGTAATTCATCGTAGGTTCTCTTAATTAGGTCTTCAAACTCGTTCGTATATTCTTTGCGTGAGGTGTGCGATGGACTTACCTCCACGTGATGCACCCTGGCCAACGTATACTCATACCGCAAAAAAGTCTATTAACTGGCAGTTGATTTCTGACTTCAAACTACCATCATCCCACTGTATTGTCATATTTGACTCCTTCCACAGTACTCAACTCATCTTTTCTCTACCTTTGTGCCTGTTTGTCTCTTTTGTCAGTTTGATAATTCTCCTCCTCTCTGTGAAGCCCGAAGTTAGTTTAAGGGCTAATGATAACTATAAAAACGCCTGCCATTTGAAATAAATAAATAAATATTTGAAATGTAAGAGTAAACAAAAAACATCCATAAATTCTGTAAATAATCCGTTTATTCTATATTTAATAGTAAAATTTAATAAAAAAAATTAAAAAATTAAATTAAATAAATTGATATAATATCGTGTATTTAAGTGAATTATGAAAATTAAATTTGAATTAAATGTTAACATTTTTGTTTGTTTTACTCAACCGAATTTAAAAGCGGGACACACAAATTCTATCTGTTCACGTTGTGATGGCACGTACAAAGCAAACTGCTCGTAAATCAACTAGTGGTGGAAAGGCACCTAGAAAATTGTTAGCAACAAAGGCTGCACGAAAGATTTCGCGCTCTGTGGAGGGATTGAAAAAGCTCCACCGTTGTAGACCTGGAACTATGGCCCTTCGTGAAATTCGTAAATACCAAAAATCCACTGAGTTGTTGATTCGGAAAGTGCCTTTCCAACGACTTGTTAAAGAAATTGCACAAAACTACAGAACAGACCTTCGTTTCCGATCCGCAGCAATTGGAGCAATGCAAGAAGCTGCCGATGCCTATCTTGTGGGTCTCTTCGAGGACACAAACCTCTGTGCCATTCATGCAAAGCGAATAACAATAATGCCAAGAGACCTCCAACTTGCCAGACGTATTCGTGGAGAACGTGCATGAATGGCTTTCTGTGCAGTATTCACATACTTCTATATCAATATGCCACTTGGCGTCTATTTATTGTTTGTTTTTTTGTGGTAATTAGGTGATAGTTGTGACTGTCTGGATTTAGTGATTAAGAATTTGGTGGGGTTAGTTTCTAGCCAATTTGAAATCTTTTCATGTTGTATGGTGTTATAATGCGGTTTTGAGTGAAATATATGATGTTTTAGTGGAAGAGATTGAGAAAAGTTCTCTTCACTATGCCTACATTTATTACCGGCATTTTTAGTTTATCGAAATGTTTACAAATCGGTAATACATGTTAGTAATAGGAACTGGGGTGCGCGATAGACTTACCTCCACGTGGTGAACCCTGGACAACGTATTTTCTTACGGCAAAAAAGTCAAGGAAAGTGTCAACTAAGCTATCATGGAACTTCAAGAAGGCTGACTGGCCTAGATTCACAAACCTTTTGGAGAATGAACTTTACACAAGTCTCCTCAACTTCAACCATCACCCTGCCAAACTTTGCACTGATATCACGAATATTATGATCACATGTGCAAAGAAAACTATTCCCCGAGGCAAAACTAAACACTATCGAGTGTTTTGGTCTAAACACCTTAAGGAACTGAAAAGAAAGAGGGACGCCCTTCGCAACACTGCTGATCAGACTGGAAGAACGGAAGACGTAAAAGCCTGGAGACGACAAACAGCTGTCCTAAGGCAAGCCATCTTACAAGCTAAACGCACTTCCTTCGACAAGTTCATCTCAAATATCAACTATCAAAGTGATAGCCAACGCACTTTCAAATTTCTGAGAAACCTGCTAAACAACAGGGAAAGACCTTAGAAAGAACCAATACACTTAAACAGCAAATTGCTTACCACCGACACCGAAATAGCNAAGCACCACAATAGGTTCCCTTATCAAAGAAAAGGCCTTGATCCTGTATGAGAAGCTACTGCGCATTCCCATGGACAAGTTCTTCAGCACCTATGAGAATAGACCAAGACATCTGAAAACCCAATCTGGTCTAATATAGAAAGCCATAGAACTGAAGAAAGCGTTACAAATCGATGATAAATCTAAAAGCCTCTCTCTCCCCATGAACTCATTAGCAGACATTGATGTAGTGTGTCGCACCCAACTGCTCGACTTCTTCAGGAAATCAAACACTCCTCCCGAGCAAATGCGCTCACTGGCCCTTGAGACAATCAATGTCAACTATCCTGGAGATCAATGGCTCCAAGTCTTCACTGATGGGTCATACATACAAAGCCAAGCAAACGTTGGTGCAGGTGTCTATTCTGAACTCTTCTCTTTCTACGCAGCAGCGGGACATAATAGATCCGCTTTTGAAGGAGAAATAGAGGCTATTAGGATAGCACTATGCCAATTATGTTGCCTGGATACGAAATTCACCAAAGCGGTGATACTTTCGGACTCACAGTCAGCAATAGACTCTATTGGAAACAGAGAGACACCCAAAACGGCTGAGATAAAGGAATGTAGAAAACTCTATGAGCTACTGAGAGAGAAAAATAAAACAGTGGATTTCTGGTCACTGTGGCATTAAAGGCAATGAGATTGCTGACACACTTGCTAAGAAGGGGACAACGATTTTGCAATGCATGGACCGGCCGATGTCTTTCCACACAATGAAGGCCTTAATCAGGAGAGAATTCCAGACCTCAAGGTTCAATGAACTCAAAGCTCGAACAAAGGAGAAACAGTGGACAGTGGCACTCACTGACATAGCCGACTGGCCAAGAATCGAAGCCGTTGCTGAGTTTAGACTACGTACCGGACACGATTGCTTGGCAAAACACCTTCACAGATTGGGAGTATACACTCAACCCACATGCCCTCTATGTAACCTACATGAGGAAATGGAGAAGACCCACCTGATTCGATGTCCAGCCCTAAAGACAAGGTCGGAAAGCCAAAAATACTGGGAAGCAAGAAGACTGCTAATGAACTGCTATTAATTATCTGCTATAAATGTACCCCCCCCCCTCTTGGGGGAAGCTGAAGTCAAAGATTAAGGGCTAATGATAAATATCATAAAGCCTGTCATATGAAATAAATAAATATAAATAAATAAATAAATGTTCCTCCCTCTGTGAAGTCCGAAGTTAGCTAAAGAGCTAACGACAACTATCAAAACGCTTGCCATTTAAAATAAATAAAAGGAATTCTATGTGGGCAAATATCTTGATGATGATAATGATGATGCAAATGCTAATAATATTAACAAAGAAGAAGTGGAAATAACTTCAACAGATTATGGAATTCTGACAGAGGATTTGTTGACGACGGCTGAGATTTGCTAATGGAAGGTGTTGTGACACCCATCTGATAAGAAAAGCAATAGCCAATGGTAGTAACCACTCGCACTCTCAAACATGCACTCTGAAAGTCCACCTTTCGACCTCTGACTTACTGCCTATTCACTTGGGACACTTCATATTTCATGACTCATATTAATGAGGATCCATCATTGCGTGAGCTCCAATGAAGTATCCTCAGTCAAGTTTTCTTTTCAGTTTTTCACCACCGAATGTACACTTTTCAATACGCTCTTTGAATTTATGCCATAAATTATGTGAGAGTTCATCAAAGAAATGAACTTTGCTACCACATTATTCCGAAATGCCACTTTGAGGTTAAACATTAGTCCCCATAATGTGGGGAACTGACCGACAATAGTATGATTATCTCCTCAATGATAGAAGTATTTGCTTTAGAAATGAAGGCTGCTTGATGTAGTAGAATCATTAGATTTGAATCTCTTCGGATTCTGTTTTTTTACACAGCGTTGCCCACTGCCTTTGTCCCTCAAGTAATTATGACGTGACAACTAAATGGACATATTCATGATCCCGTTGATGTATTGAAGGAATAGATAGGCAGAATTATAAAGTGGAAAGTGGAGGCGTTTAGTTAGAATTTGGAGTAACTATGATCATGATTTCACAGCACGCTCTCTCACTTAAATAGAACACACTTGGCTGTAGATGCCATCCTTTAATCGAAGATACTTGCTTTTCCTAAGAAACCTTCACGTTCATGAAATCTAAATGCTTTGACCGACAAAGGTACTTTACAATCGAAATCATGACTAACATTTGAAATTAAATAATTGCAACTGCACAAGATTAACTGAAGTAACTAAACTGGACTGTTAAAATAGGAGAAAATATAGAATCATATGTGCTTTGCCATGACATGACCTTTTGGGTATGGAGAGGTCATCCAAAATAGATTTTCTTCAAATGACGATCCAAATTCACCATATTTATGCGCTCTCATTGGCGACCCCCTTTCAATTTACCAATGTTTACCTGTTAAATACAATATTTTTATTGGTCACAAAGGGAGCAAATGATAGCCACAGAAGTTAACTTCTCACTGTATCGTGAGCAAATTGTCGCTTGTTTAGATTGCATAATTTTGTTTTGCTTATGAAGGCAACTTCAGTAGCAAAAATCTCAAAGGGAAAAATATCTTGTCTTTCCTAGCAAATATTGGATTGACCAGAAATTTTGAGAGCTTATCTACTGAAATAGGAGCTCTTTCTGCGAAAAACTGAGCTCACACTTTCTTCATCTGTTTCCATTCCACCTCCGGTTGCATCTGTATCACCGAAGGAGTATCCTACTGCAACTTTACTTCATGTGACAAATAATATTATGAAGCTACAACATCAGTCATAGATAATATGATGCAACTAATCTCAACCACACTTCGGAACCATCCTGGCCTACTCTGTCCAAACGATAATCAGTCCCGAAATCCTGGCTGCCTGATCACCACACAAATCACCTAAAGGAACAAAAGGGGAAGGGTTTTGCAGATGTTCCAACTATAGAACTGCTAAATCGTCTTGAACAGTATAATCACATTCGAGCCCAACCATAGCTCATCTGCCGTTGGGCAAGTGGAATGGCTTTAAAACTGTTTCCCCAATTGAAAGTCATACTACACTTCATGCGCTCTCGAACGGACTTGCCTTTGTTCCACATTGATCTCAGGCTTTCTTACTTACTTGTAATTCCTGTCCATTTTTGTTCAGAGTGGTGAATTAATCTTGATGTCTATCTAAATTCTTAAAAATCGCTCAAGGTCAATCCTCGGTGTTATTCCACTTTAAGTTACCTTAGATCGTTGTAAGTTCAAACGCTAAAAAATACGAGTATTTCTCATTGATCATTCTTTTATTTTATATCGATTTGTATTGAAATGTATGCCTTTTTCATAGCCCTTAACACAATCATTTCAGTGCTCAAAACTTAGACAAGGAGGCGTTTAGAGGGTAACGACAATCTGCAACCATCAGTTCGGCTGAACTTGTTTCTCATTCAAAATCATTTATTGTGCTTTGAGATGTTGCCGATTTGTAATAATTTCGAGGGGTGTGCGATAGACTTACCTCCACGTGGTGCACCTTGGACAACGTATACTTATACGGCAAAAAAGTCTATAAACCGGCAGTAGACTTCTGACTTCAAACTACCATCACTGTATGTCATATTCGACTACTTTCACAGTACTCACCTCGCCCTTTTTCTACCTTTTCTACCTTCGTCTTTGAAATACTCTTCTGTTCCACCCCCCCCCCCTCCACCCCGTCTCGACTTATTTCATTTTGATGTTCCTTCCCCTCTGTGAAGCCTGAAATTAACTAAAGAGCTAATAATAACCATCAAAACGCCTGCCATTTGATACAAATTAATATTTCAAAACAAATGCACCACGACTGATTTTGCATTTTGGAAATCAAATTAAAAATGGACAATTCTTGTTCCGCTTATTATCGGTAGTCAATTCAAAGGAGGACATCTTTCACACACACACACAGATTAGACATCTCTAAACAGTTCTGTAACTGTTTGATCGAGTGCAAAATGAGTTTTTTCACGTAGCCGAGATCACTCAGTGGTCTATTTATAACACGGCCTACTGGCCAGTTATTTAAGATGAGTTCCCCTTGAACTGGTAGATGTTTAAGGTAAATACAGTTTTACCCCACTTTCAAATATCTCAAATGAGGTCACTCTTATAATTTTTAAGAACAGTTGACAATGAAGGCCCCACGAGTTTTATCATCTTTTTGAACCTCTTCATTTTGCCTTTCAGAAATATATTATCAATAAAAAGGTTTTTAATTTTGTGCGTTATCAGTGGTGTTATTTTTTCGCACTAGGTCCGATAACAAAATTGGGAAGTACATTTTTTAAAGATAAGTTTTGTTTAACCATTTTAAGTGTTATAGGTGTTTGGCAAGAATTCCTTTCATATTTTTCAGTAAATGTATTCATTTAAATTCTAACTCGAATCACTGATGACACTCGATAATTCATTAATTTCAAATGTCAGGCGTTTTGATTGTTATCATTAGTCCTTTAGCTGACTTCGGGCTTCACAGAGAGGAGAAGGAACATCAAAGTGACAAAAAGTCGATAGGCGGAGCAGAATAATAATTCACTGGCGTAAAATAGTCAGATAGGCATAAAGGTAGAAAAAAGGTGAGGTGAGTACTGTGTAAGTGGTCGAATATGACATACAGTGGTACCATTGTAGCTTGAAGTCAGAAGTCAACTGCCAATTAATTGACTTTTAGTCATAAGAGTATACGTTGCACAAGGTGCACCACGTGGAGGTAAGTCTTTCGCACACCCCAAAGTGGCAGAGACACGGAGCACCTGGGTAACAATCCCAGCACCTCTCGCATATGAGCTAGAGCCCCACTGATACTCGATAATAAAATGGTTACTAACTACCTATAAGTAGGAGGCAGAGTGACAACTCTTATTTGGTATGGATTTTTGAAATCCTGAATACTAATTAGCTTCCACACGATATACAAGTGGTAAACGTGAATATGAATGCATTTGGAGTAAGATTCTTTTTTATTTCTGCCAGATTTTGCCGTAATTTGCCTTTATTGTTTTTTTTTCGTTTTGCCTCTCACAATTGACTGTTCTTAATGTCCACGATGCCATCATCGTGCTCATAATACCGGGACTTAAGAGTAACCGGATGGCATTCAATTTCCGGTTATCGCCGATTTCTACTTGACGATAGCCTGTGAATACTAGACGGGACCGTAACCAACAAGAGAAAGGATTATCGACAATTGGAAAATTTTCGGTTGAAAAGTGAAATTATGTCTTCCTTCTCCAGAAGGTAAGGCAGTGGTTGTATAGGAATGTTCTCCTTTAAAAATACATTTACTGGTGAGATTTCTTGAGTAAGGGCAGCTCATGAATATTTTTTCATTTCATTCGTTCGTGTTTAAGAAAACTGTAAAATGGGTGATCGAGTTGACAGTTAGGTAAGCAAGTAACAAACATGATTCCCAATTCAATTATTAAAATTCGGGGGAATTAGTGTGAAGTCAAAAGAACGATAGCGAAAGAGAGTGACTATTTTGCGTGAGTGTCGGGAATTGTACAGACAGGAGGTGTCACTGCTAAACTGATGATAACAAAGAGTGATAATTGACGTCACGCAACTATGGTTTTGCCTTGGGAGAGGGGGGAGATGGGTTAAGATCTACCGACTCCGTTTAATGCCCAAAGCATCGAAATAATCCTGCACAAAGCCTGCTTATCCTTGGGAAACGTTTATAAGAAATATTAACCATTATAGTATCATAAAGTGAACCCAGCTCCTTCGAAAATACTAGCAGCTTTAATCAAATGAAGTAAGACCTGGGGTGCTTTGACTTCATCACTTTTAACCACGTCATATTTTCGATTGTCTAGGTCAAATTAAACGGTAACACTTTAGTCATAATCTTCGAAGCAAATGGCTGAATTTTCATTTAGTTAAATAAATGCCAGTTTTATTGGTACCTTAATTGTAGGAAACCGTCAACTACATTTTAGTTTATTTTGGAAATTAATTTGTTACAAATTCTCAAAATTATTTCAAAAGTCCGGCCTGTTCTTTTCATCATTTTGTTTGTTAATTTCCATAAACCTTCTCGAACAATAGAATTCATATCTAACTCGATGCACAAAGTCAAATTGAACATTCTGTACAATGTGTATGCAAATTAAATCGATATGTGAATATGATGCATAAATTAAGTAGATATTTGTAAGCCGACTTGATTAAATTAGATCCTATTAGGAACCGGTTTCACACATTTCTTGGGCTCACGTAAAAGACCATTTGCTTCACAAGCTTCTCTCATGAAAGGTAATACTGATTACTTGAATTAAATGACCTCACCTGGATATGTAAGTCCAATATTGAGGCTAGCATTACCCTAGTTACTAACTAGCTAGGTATCTATCTCATCACCACGTTTCCCATTCTATTTAAGCAAACTCAATTTCCTCATGAAGAAGTATTCTCCCCTACTTCCTGAAGTTAGAATAACCTATTTTTAGGAATGCCAATTGTGACTTGAGTTCATGGGAAATGTTAAAGCTTTGCAATCGTTAACTTCAAGGTACACTTTGTCCTCCATTTGAAAGTTTGCATAATGGAGCTCTGTGAATTAGTAAAACACGAAATATTCTGTAAAAAACAATGGCTTTAATAGAACCAGTGATAATCAGTCCCAAAACTAGTCCCTTCAATTGGTAGCTAATCCTTTGTCTATGGTAAATGAGCAGACATCAGAAATACGTAGATTACGTGGTTAGCAAAACAAAGGTCAGCATATCTCAACAACCTGATCTTTGGTGGCCGGTAGAGATAGAGGAAGAGAAAGGGTACCTTCAACTCCTTAAAGTCTGATCTGTCGCTCAGTGTCCAGAATGAATCCGGATTTCAGGTGAAGGCATGCTATCACTTAATCTCTTATATTGGAATTTTAAAATCAATTAACATTTTTTGGTTCCTTTCCATTTCAACACCACAACTCTAATTCTTAACCGTGCACTTAACAGAAAGGCATTAGTTGAATGGTCTTATTTCAAGAACGCTTATCTTCCACTGCTATCATTGCAGCGATGAACATTGTGGTGATGGACAGATTTACTCGTCTTTTATATATCATTCGACTGTATAGGTAATTTAGAGCTTAATCACAATCAAAAATTTCCAAAATGGAGCAAAATTGCCATTTTGGGATGAATTAGATCAATGAGCCCTCTAATGAAGAAACTGCGATAAAGTATAAACATGAGGTGTATAAACAAGAAACCAAACTGTCTACACACAAAAAAGCATACCGCACAAGTGATCGGATCATGTTTAGATCATTGTCAAAATCACACTTTGACGGCTAGCTTAGGGCTTCTATTGTGGATAAGACTAATTGTATTTTCATCAATGTGGAGAAATTTTCTAAATAAAATTGGTGTGCAATGGTGGCTTAGCGTGCGCCACTTAGAATGCTTGTCCTGAAAGTTAGGGTTCACGATTTCCATGGGATTAGCCAAAACCGGTTCATAAATAGATGAGGGTATTCGAATTTCCCACCAGAGAGTCCCAATGGTACTATGAGCGTTGATTAGTCACTTTCCTAACATGCTCCTGGAGTTGCTAGCCTATGAGGAATACCAAAATTACCCCTCTTTGTGAAGGTAGTATTCGGTAAGCTGTTTAAACAAACAGATCCGTATTTATCGGTTTACGAAAATAGCCTGGTTAAAGGACAGAAATTCATTGCATTGGATTCACAATTTTAACGTCCCTCCGCACCCTGGAAGAACTTTTGAACAGACACGCCTTGAAGATCCTGTCATGAATTTTTCGAATAATCTCGTAAATTTTTCCTGATTGCCTGAGATTGAGACTTCAAGTTTAAGAGACAATAACCAACTTTGTGACTGTCATAACCACGGTAACCTGATTTGACTAAAGACGTCTTGGGCGTCTTGATAACAATTTTTGCCCTTCATTAAGTCTGCTGATTCATTCAAGGCAGCCCAAAGTTGAAATGTTAAGTGGTAAATGAGTGGAAATGTCTGGAAACTCGTCTAAAATAATGTCTTCTGAGTTCTTTCAAAAATATGTTTAGGAATTAGGACTCAATCAGGAAGAAAATTAAATAATTTTGCAATCAAAATAATTTAAGTTGATTGTTGGCATTGACGGGCTCCAATTCTGTAACTTCCTACGCCTGAGGGAAAGAAGATAGAACTTTGGTTAAAATAGGGTGCATTCCTACTTTACTTCATGCGGTAACACGCATTTCCATATATGGTCATGGATTGGGTAAATATTCCGTCAATGACAGGATTATGTTCCCAAGTGCTCCATATTGATATTAAATTGCATGAAAGGCAAAATCTGAATATCCTTTTGCCAATCAACTTACCAACCGTATCTCCTTACCTTCATTTTCAATTCTTCTCCATCACTTTCATTGTTTTGCTGACAATTCTTTCGCCTGTCTCAGCGGAAAAGACTGAAGTTGTTCTTAATTTTGGACACCTCTTTGTGTGGATGTGAGTCACATTGTTGAGAGGTGGGGGGGGGGGGGGGGAGTAACTATCGTTCGAATAGGTTCAGACTGAGTTTTCTCACGCAGACGTATAGATAATGCGTTCATATTTACCTTTGTGCTAACAGCACAAATCAATGTGTCCAGCATCTGCTGGAGGATTGGTTTCATTCCGCGCGCATCACGCCCAGTGATAACTTTTAGGAAAGTTCCTTTGGCATCGTCAACAAATAAGACACCCTCAGTTCATATTTTGCGAACAACATTTACGATCAATGATAGTATGAGTCTTCTAAAGCCATGATCATACTAACCATTATTTGAAACGCAAAATCTTACTATCAGGTTTCAAACCTTCAGACTTCAAAAGGGAAACATGGCAATACCCAATTATAACAGAGGCAATTCAATTAATGACCATTTTCAACAAAGTAATTTGGCATTAAATTCTAGCTCGTTGAAGAGCGTGAGATAAGCACTAACTCTCCTGGATTTTGGCCTTCTTTTCCTTCATTAAAAAGCATGAGTAATTAATTTTTTTCAGGATTGTTGAATTTGGTCACATTATTCCCAGATTATTGATTCCTTATAAGTTACCGTTTTCGGTAAGTTTGTTAAATGATTTGAACTCGTAACTGAGGCACATAAAATTGAGACTAATCGATAACTTTTATCTAACTTTATCTTGCACTTTCTCACACTCGGGCTTAACTATTACACTTTAGCACTGTGGGAAGGGTCTAAATTTAGGAAACAGTAAAATGATTCAATTGCGTTCCGAAATTAAAAGAAATTAAATAATAATGGTTCAGGTTGGAATAAACTTCTAGCATAGCGGAAGTATCTCCCCAATCAATTTGGCGCAATCCAAGTGAGGAGAAAAGTGGTATCTTAATAGAAAAGTGGCTATTTGTCTTTTCAAGGTAAATAGGGGGAAAATGGAAATTCGAACCGTCCACTAAGTCAGTATTAAATAGGTAAATTAAATCACAAACTTCTAAAACAAGAACTAACACCTTTATTTTAACTAGTCCAAGTGTTGCCTCACAGCCGTATTTGATTTTTCCAATTTTTCATGCCGGTCCTTACTTCTACTTTAGAAGTTTGATTCAGCATGGTGTTGTTGAGTATGCAGACGGCTGTAAAGACGCTTGCAAACTGGGCCTTATGCGTCATCAGCCTAAAGTAAGACTTAGTCACTGGTCCGTAACGTGTACGCAAGCCAGGTCTTCACTGCGAATGCAAATGAATGACTACCAACTTCCTCCCCCCCCTCCTCCTCCCCCCCCCCTCCCACTCCGCCCACGATTAATCAATCATGGTCTAGAGAAAATAGGGGTGTGGAAAAGCACAAAATTAAAGGTTCAACTTGGCCGCTCTCTATCCAGAATTACGGTCTGCCAATAAATCGATATTTAAATTTTCCATGGAAATTATACGGCTCGAATGTCAAATATACACTTATCAATTATTTTCATTTTAAAGCAAATGAGAAAATGCCTTATTTAATTAAATTAGATAAAATGGGAACGCTGATGTGATTACAAATAATTCTTTTCGATATTATTAATTCGGCTAAACAAGAAACGTGAGTACAAGTTGTTAGTACAATCGAAACTAAATTTAGAATCACCAAGGTTACGGTTAATTGTTTTCCATCTTTCGGAAATGAATGTAATAAAGCGAAGCCATATTATCAGGCGTTCTATTGTTCAATACTATTTCATATACTTGATTCGATTTTTTATTGCATTCAGTCGTTTTCTAAGCCAATAAAAATGTCCCTTAAAAGCCACTGTCATTCCGCGAACGTTTTAGTATTTAAGAGTAAGTAAGCCATGGAAACAAAGAGCGTTATTTCAACTGAAATACTACGAAACTTGACAAAGTTTATCAGGTGAGATAATCAACCTTGACAGAATATAAACTAACCTGGCACCACTAGTAGAGCCTAAGTTAGACATCTTTGTTCGCAGAAAGGTTAGCGTGAATATGCTGCTAAAAAGGTCAGCTACGATGAGTCAGGCTGTTCTGAAGTGTTTTTTTACCAAGAAATACCATTTCCTTTTCCTAGTCACGCCTATTTACGTTGCTTACTTCAAGTGAATGATGAATTGCTTACTTTCTATCCGCGGTTTATCAATGCAAAAGTTAGTTGCACCATTCAACTGAGGTAGTAGATGTAGCAGTTTTGTGTATGCTAAACAGAGTGTGTTATTTAACATACCTGTTCTGCTCAATAATTATTTCAGCCAATGATGATTAAAGAATATTGCCTTGCTATTCATGAATTTTTTGTTCATTAGATTTTTGTGTGTCGGCAGATCAGTGCTCAGAATTCACTTTTGGTATCCCTTCAGTGACCGGTCTCCAGTACCAAACTTCTCTTCTCAAACTCGACTAACATAATCCCTTCCCTCAGATATAGATTTCGACATTTCGGCATTTCGATAGTTTGACTTTAGGAGGCCACTTGATTCAGATTTGTATAGATTGATTTTAGTAAAAGTAATTTTAGATATCACAGCATCATTAATTAAGTTGAAGCTTAAAGGTTACTAATCACTATTTGTAGGATTATATGGCACTTTCATACCTCTTGGCGAATAGATACTTACATTTGCTCCTTAAAGCATGAAATCATAATATTTATTTATTTATTTATATCAAAAGGCAGGCGTCTTGATGGTTATCATTAGCCCTTTAGTTGACTTCAGGCTTCACAGAGGGGAAGGAACATCAAATTGAAAAAATTCGAGAGGGGGGGGGGGAACAGAAGAGTGTTTCAAAGATGTAAGAGACAGACACAAAGGTAGAACAAAGGTGAGGTGAGTACTGTGTTATATTCGAATATGGCATAGAGTGAGGTGATGGTAGTTTGAAGTGAGAAGTCAACTGCCAGTTAATTGACTTTTTTGCCGTATGAGAATATGTTGCCCAGGGTGCACTCCGTGGAGGTAATTCTATCGCACACCCCATAAATTAGTCATTACCTGAGATATTTTAGCTTTCAATATAACTTCTTCAAGTGTGGCAAATTTTAAAAATATCGTTTCTCAAATCTTCTCTAATACGGGGTGCGCGATAGACTTACCTCCACGTAGTGCACCCTGGACAACGTATTTTCTTACGGCAAAAAAGTCTATCACTCGGCATTCGTTTTTGACTTCGATTTATTATCATTACATCGGCATACGTTTTTGACTTCGATTAATTATGATTAGCTTCAAAAAGGCTATAAGAAAAATCGCCCTCGTCAGGGCGACAATGCTATAAGAAAAATCGCCCTCGTCAGGGCAAATCACAACCGCCCCCGTCATAGCCAATAACATCGTCTTCAGATCCTCCAGTGGAATGCTGGAGGACCAATGTCTTCAGATCCTCCAGTGGAATGCTGGAGGAATGTAACGGACAAAAAGATCCAAATACAGAAAATCCTACAAACCTGACAAAGGGCCAAGTACAGAATATCCTACAAACCTATGATGTAGACATTTTCACAATTATGTACAGAAATTATGGAAGCTAACATTTGATGACACTATGTAGTCCTACCAATTCCCAGGTTACACCCTGTACCTTCTACCTTACTACCCATTCCCAGGTTACACCCTGTACCTTCTACCTAGCCACCAATTCCCAGGTTACACCCTGTACAATCTACCTAAAAATACAGAATTATATAATTATGGAAGCTATCATTTCGGATGACAAACTGAAGTACTACAAATTCCTAGGATACACCCTATTCCTTCTACCTAAATACTGGCAAGTTGCAAGTGGAATTCTA